TATTATTCTGAACTCCAATGCAGCTCCAGCCTGTCCCATCTTTCCTCATAAGACAATCCAGTTATCAGTTGAATGCTTTTCTAAACTGCCTTTAATACACTCACATCCTTTCTTAAATAAGGAGACCAAAACTGTACACAGTGCTGCAGATGTGGTCTTATCAATGTGTTGTACAACTGTAGCCAAACATCTCTACTGTTACATTCCATTTACCTTGCAAAAAACAATAAATTAATTTTCTCTTCCTAATCACTTATTACACCTGCATATACTAACTTAATGTGATTCAAGCGCAAGGACATACAGATCTCTCTGTATGTCAGGCCCGTGAAATCTCTTTCAACTTCAATATTATTCTGCTTTTCTAATCTTCCTGTCAAAGTTCACTACATTTTACTCTATGTGCCAATTTTTGGATCACTTGCTTAACCTGAATATTTTCATTTGCAGACTCCTTACATTTTCTTCACAACTTACTTTCCTAGCTCTCATTGTGTCATCAGCAAACTTTGCAATCAGACATTTGGTTCCTTCATTCAAATCAGAATAAGTATTGTCAGGTCACTGATTCCTGTGGTACTCCACTTGTTATGTTTTGTCAACCGAGAAACAATCCATATTTTCCTGGATCTGTTTTCTGTTGCCTGACCATCCCCCTATCCATGCTAATATGTTATCTGACTCCATGGGTTCTGATTTTGCATGTTTTCTCTTTTACATTGCTATTTCTTGGGAATTTTGCTAAAGTTTAACAAAATGGGCCTTTTTTCAGGAATTTCTGCAGTGCCCTTTTCTACATGAATACTACGGTTTTTAAGTTTCTCTCTGCCTGACATCCCTCACGCGCAACTATTTCTGGGATGTCCTCCATAGCAGATACAGATGCTAAATTTCTGTTTGATTCAACTGCAATTCATATATTTTTCATTGCAAATTCTCCAGTCTTATTCTTTAGATAACCAATGCTCACTTACACTTTTTTCTTTATAAATGCCTTCAGAAATGTTTACTGTCTGTTTTAATATAACTAGCTAACTTTGTCTTGTACTCTAATTTCTCCTTCCTCTTTTTCCCTTCCATGTCAAATGATTGATATACTAGGGTCCAAGTACTGATCCTTGCAGTACCCCACTAGTCACAGCTTACCAATATGGGAATGACCTAATTATTGCTACTCTCAGACTTCTGACTGCTATTAATCTGTCATTAATCTATGCCATCACACCACATCCTGTTCCATGTGCTTAAATTTTTCTAACAAGCTTCCTTTGGAGGAATTTGTCAAAAGCCTTCTGAAAATCTAAGTCTATTATGTCATTTGAGTCCCCTTTATCAATTTTGTTCACAACAGAGGAATGAGCAGTAAAGGAGTTTGTGGAGGAGATGCTTCATCTTGGTGAGGGAGGTGAGATATTGGTAAGTCTGAGTATCCTATTTCCCACCACTTCTGCTGAAAACCCACCATAAACTAAATGCGATTATAATGGAAAATACTCTTCCTCTGAAATTTCAGTTGCTGGTAAAACACAAAAGCAATTCAAAAAAGCTTTTGAACAATTTCTCTTAGTCATTAATAGGTCTTCATAACTCATCATTCAGGATTCCATAATTAATATTTCTTCATTCATTGGCCTGGTAGCTGCATCTCTTACTTTTTTTTCCTTTAACCATTTCCTATTTCTTGTTCTGCTAATTCAGAATAAATATGATGAAAGAAGTGTAAAATTAGGAATCTACTGCCACAAGAAAGAAATGTCACAAAAAAAGAAGTTATATAATGCACATCTAATATTTAACAAAGTACAATGGTGATGAGCACAGTGAGATAGGTGGCTGATCTTTCTCCAGGCAAGTGGAGAAAAGTCATTTTTCAGGTCCCAAATACTCCTTCCTTTGGAAACTGATGAATTTGAAAGTTAAGTCCCATGGAGGATGGTTCCCTGTCCAAGTAAAGGTGATAGAGAGCCTCTTAATGCTGAGAAAAGGAGGAGGCAATCAGAGGCCTTGTCGCTTCAACTTGCTGGGTAACAAGGTAACAACTTAGAGAATGGCTTATCAAGATAGTGGTCTCTCAGAGACTGTTCAAAACTTTCGTGAAAAGCGAAAAAGTCAGCGAAAACCACTACTTAAGGTAGAGTACCTCCAGGGGCTGCCTTTGACTTAACCTCACCTCCCTCCCAGGATATGTAAGGAGAGCCTGATGCCTGCTAGATGCACTGCTAATTCAAGTCTGCCATTTGGTGCCGACCTTCACACTGTTTATTCACACTCCTCCTCAGTCCCAACATCCCATTGGAAAACTAGAGACCAACTGGAAAGTATTTATGAATCTAACTGTTTAGCCATTTAGCTAAACAGATACTCTCTTTATGGTCTCATTTGAAGTACAGTGCCTCTACCAGTGTAGTTCACTCTCTCTCCTACATCAAACAATCAGACCTGCTCAGTGCTGTGCAAAGATCATTCTGTGTTTGTGCAACTTTAAATAAATCTTGTAATTGTAATTGATGTTTGCCAGCAAGAGCCATGTTGATTACATCCTTCATTTTACAACTCTGAAATACCAGCAACCACATTTCATTTTTTCCACAATGGATGATAAATATATTTTTGATGTATTTTGTAGCTATGAACTGAATAGTAATTTCTAGTAATGAAATTTCAACATTAGATATCCAAAAAAAATTACCTGAATATGAGCCAATTATAATACATCGCTAGTAAAGATCCATAATATTTCTCAAGCTAAATAGTTATTTAAATGATTTGAAAGGCAAAGGGAATGAGTAATCCAATTGTAGAGGATATAATTATTGTACTAAATTAAAATGCAAATAACCCTGGATGCAGTTATAAATTTGGTCTGAAATTAGATAGATACTGAAAACATAATATAATGGTCCAGCAACACCTGGGTATCTATTTTGCTTTTCAATTGCATTGGAATGGAACTCCTGTTTGTCTTAGTCCAAAGCTTTAGCCCTGGCATATTAGAAAATAGAATAGCCCACAGACAATCCACCTTTAATTGCTGTCAGGCACTTCTGAATCTAAGAAAAATCCCTCCCACCAAAGATATCTCAGTTTCATTTGGAGTCTTTAGCCCTTCAGAATCTGTTTTGAGATTGAGTATTTTAGTTTAACAAAGGTTTAGATCTTCACTAAAAAATAATTTACCCCATCTGGTCTCAGCAAATGAAAGTCCTGTTTGGCATATTATGTGGTAAAAGGCCAGAATTCACAGGAATCCTGCTAAAGCCCTCTAACACGGTTCCTAGAAATAGTGGAAATTGATGTAAGATTTATCTACAGTGGCACCCCCAGTCAAACAAGAATTTAATGTGCTTTCAGCAACTGTAATATTTTGGAAATCCAGCAAGCTTGGGTTCTGCAAGATTGTACAAACCACCAAACCTTTTGCCTTTCTGAGTTTCGCAATTTCTCTGATCAATTGACTTTTTAATTTCTCTAAAAGTGACTTTGTCTGCAAATATTAACTCTCTGCATTACAATGCTACCGGATATAACTGGAGTTTTATGCTTCTTAAGGGATAACTTACAATATCCCATCCATAAAAAGAATGGATTGAAATTCATGAGCTAGTGAGTACATATGTAGAAAAGCTCAACCCATAAGTTAAACAAGTAAGTTAAATTTACAAGGTGTTATGGCACAGCACATTTAAAACTGACTCATCAGATATGCAATTACTCTGCCAAACAAATCTCAGTGCAAACATTGTTATTGGTATTCTGTCATGCAATTTTCTTTGCAGAAGTATATTAATTATATCTGGATTATTAAAAAAAAGTAGTTTACATAATATATTGAATATTGTTGCATTGTGTAATTTTTGGCCAAACACATGACTTTAGAGCAGGATTCCCTTTGTGGCTTCTGAACATTGCTGCCCATCCCAAATTAGGGTCAGAAGCCTCACTGTGTAGGAGCCAATTACTCACCAGGGATTTTACATTAATTGGCTGATTGGTGATCAAAAAGCAATTGCTGTACAATTAAGTACAGTGAGCAAGTTCTTGAAACTGGACACTGAATTAAATAACCAGCAGCAGAATGCCATGACCAATAAGTAAGATAGAAGGTGACCATAATGGAGAAACCAGACGTCTTAAGTCTGTCACTTCCAAAAGTCTCTAATTTGCTTTGCAGCGTTCACTTCTGCCTGAAGACCATCACCAATTTCTCATACTGAATGGTACCTTTAAGATCAATGTACCACCATGCAATTTCACATCTGAAAGTTTGCTTGTGCGGATCCTGTTTATACTCTCATACTTACCCAGTTTGGAGGGAGTATTGTTCAGGACCTCGGACCACTGCTTACAAGATAATTGCTGTCAGGGATGGATGCTTCCCACAGTGAGATTTTCCAGATTGGTGGTTTAGTTGCAACCAACATAGATTTAGCAGCTGCTATGATACATAAGTTACAATGTACTGGCTTCTGCATTGGTGAATGTGGTGCTCACTTTTTTTTTGTTTAGAATATAGCAAATTCCAATACCTCCACCCACTGTCCACCCCTAACACTCATCCACCTCTCCAACACTAACTGAATTGAAAAGGAAATGGGCATGAAAAGAACTTGAAAATGCCATCTCAAAATGTGAACATGCATGTGAGACATTATGGCACTTGTTCTGTGCATGTTAGGTAATTTTCTAGTGACTCTGAAAATACTGGTATCACATTGCAAGGAACTGTACAGCCTTAGATTTCAAAACTAGTTTTTAATTTATATCCATTTTGTCATAGTCCCCCACCCTTCTCCTATGCCTGCACAATTTTCTCATAGTTACCCATTTTGGTTGATCATTTTCCATAAAATGGTTTTGGGATACAAATAGACGACTTAATGTAATGGTTCAAAGGATCAAAATGGTCTATTAGCATTTCCTATTACTTGCTTCTAAGTACATATTATTTTTCATTAATAGTCAACAATGGAGAAAATATCCTGGACGTGTCACTAAATTACCTGTAATATCGATGACAAGCCTTGTGCTGATCAGGAAAATAATCCACAATGTCATGTTTATATTATGAAGCTCTTTTCTTGTAGCCTGAAAGAAAAACACTTAACATGAATATAATTTAAAATTTAATCAATGTAGAGGGAGAGAATTTCAAATCACATCCTATATCTTTCTTCCAATTGCAGAGTGTGACAGTTTACATTGGTAATTATATATACACCAGTTTCTTCAGCATATTTGGAACAACAGAAATCTGATACAATTGGTAGATTCACACTGATGTCAAACTATTGCAAGCCAGGATTTGCTTCTTATTGGAACTGACAGAAACAGGAGGCGGGGCATTTGGAGATTCCACAAAGTAACACTATAATGCAAATTCAGTAATGCAAAAACTCACAATGGTTCCCAAATTTTTAATCAGATCATTAATCATTGCATTTTTAATGGGATCAATTTGAAAGCTTTGTCTCTGGTAACATGAAGCTGGGAACAAGACCTAAAACAAAAGGGCAGCATAGTCTAACAAATGCTTTTAAATTCACTCTGATTATGATGTCTGTCCCCGTTTTAGGCATCAGTAGCTAGTTAACTATTTAATAGCTTGAAACACTATGTGACCAGAATCCCAGAACAAACTGTTTCTATTTGTCATGGAAGCCATTGAGAAGCACAACATGAAACAAAGGAAAATAATAATTAACCATGATGTTAGCACATTTTTGATTTCATGACCAGTGTCAGTGATCAACATATTTTCACCTGAGTGTGTTTAAAATCAGATTCACAAGCAGTTGCCAACATAGGTAAATAGCTGCAAAGATAATGGTAGAATTCAAATGTGCTGTGGCCTGTGCATACCAAGTGCTGTAAAATGATGAGAGATCACATTTAGACAAATGAAGCGATTTTGGATGTTACATCTAAGACATTGTGGAGGGCTTAACATTCAATAGACAGTGATAGAAGAAAGGGGAGAATAAAAGGTACAATAAAACAAGGCCAATAAGCAGTTTTTTATGGCACAGCCTCTTTGGACATGAAAATATCGCAAACACATGAATTTTTGGAAAAGGATAGAGACCAAAAAGGAAATTGCTTTTAAAAGATTATTCCCACTTTCTACCTTCTTACAATATTGTGAAATCTCTATCCTCTTCCAATATTCACCTAATTGCCTGCTGACACCTTTTATCATGTCTGTTTTAATTAGTCTTCCCAAAATAGCTTCCTGTTTAACCATGAGCAATTTAGCCCATTAAGTCTGTGCCGAAATGTAATTTTGTTTGATATATGTGCATTGCATTTGTATATCACCAGGACTGAGGCAACAATTGAAAATCCTAAGAGTAGGCTATTCATCAACTGTGCACTACTATTGTGCATGTCAGCAATTTGCAACTAGTCTATGCTCCCACAATAGAAATGATGATGTTTCACAAGGCCATGAGAAGATTCAAATTATATTGAAGCTTTAGAGCTTTCCAGGCGTTGTCTTTGCTTTACATAAACAATGTTATCGCTATTGATCAGATAAGTAGCGTGTTTTGAAACTAATGTCTTTGAGTTTTAGCTTTCTTAACATGGTTGATTTGTTTTGAGACAGCTCTTGGAGAAATTAAGGTTCATTTATGTCTCCACTGCAAACAAAGAATGCTTAGTTGTAAGGCACAAAAGAAAGAAAGCGGATCAGGTCATTCAACAGAATCAGTTCCTAATGACACGTTTTTTAAAACACGTTGCCTTGCTCTTGTCCACCTATGTTCAATGACTTGTTATCTGCGCTGCCAACTCTACCTTCCATTCTAACATTTCCAGGCGAGATATGCCTGAGCTGCGTTAATGGGTAACCTCAACATAATGAAGCAGAAGTAGTTTTGCTTCTTCTTCTTCAGCATCTGGTGCCACATGAAATTCAGTAGCGATTAATCTGGAAGCTTCTGTAATGATACATAAGGGGAAAAATTACAGCAAAAAAGTTAGAACGATCATTCAGCTGTTTCCAGCATTATTGCAGAGATTGTGTGCCAGTTTTGTAGATAGGATGTAATATAGCTATTTTTGGAAACAGTCTCAAGATATTATCCACTTGCTTATTCACTTGTTAGGATTGGGCATCACTAGTGCCTATCCTTAATTAACAACAAGAATGTCAAGGACATCTTCAAACCCATTGTACAGGGAACCCCCAGCTTCTGTTGTAACACCGCAGATTTCTTACAGAAACTCAGCACTCATGGACCGTTGAACCAGGAACATTCCTCGTCACAATGGATGTTTTAGCACTCTACACCAGCATCACCCATGATGACGGCATCGCCACAACAGCCTCAGTACTCAATATCACTGACTGCCAATTTCCAGATGCCATCCTACAGCTCATCCGCTTCATCTTCAACTGCAACGTTTTCACCTTCGAAAACCAGTTCTTCATCCAGACACACAAAACAGCCATGGGAACTAGGTTTTCTCCCCCATATGCCAACATTTTCATGCACAGGTTCAAACAAGACTTCTTTGCTGCACAGGACCTCTGAAAAACACTATACTTCAGATACATTGACAACATTTTCTTCCTTTGGACTTATGGTGAGGAATCACTGAAACAACTACATAGAGATATCAATAAATTTCACTCTAGCATCAGACTTACCATGGACTTCTGTTTAGAATCAGTCTCATTCTTGGACACACGCTTCTCCATCAAGGACGGAGACCTCTGTACCTCACTCTATCGCAAGCCCATGGATAACCTCACAATGCTGCATTTCTCTAGCTTCCATCCTAAATGTATTAAAACAGCCATCCCCTATGGACAAGCCCTACGCATACTCAGGATCTGTTCGGATGAGGAGGAATGAGACAGACACCTGAAGGTGTTGAAGGATGCCCTCAAAGGAACAAAAGACAATGCTCAACTCATCAATCACCAGGTCCAACGTGCCACAGTGAAAAATCATAATGACCTCCTCAGAAGGCCAACACAGGATAATGTTCTTTGCAGCCCTCAACATATTATCAATGACGATGAGCATCTCTCCAAGATCTTCCCCATGTCTCCACTTCTCACCTTCAAACAACCGTAAACCTTAAACAGACAATTGTTCGTAACAAATTACCCAGCCTTCAGGCAACATTGACCACAACACCACACAACCCTGTCATGGCAGTCTCTGCAAGACATGTCAGATCATCGACACAGACACTACCATCACACGTGGGAACTCCACCCACCACATAAACGGCAGATACTCATGTGACTCAGCCAATGTTGTCTATCTCAGACGCTGCAGGCAAGGATGCCCCAAGACATGGTATGTTGGTGAAACCATACAGATCTTATGAAAATGGATGAATGGACACCGTGCAACAATTACCAGAGAAGGATGTTCCCTCCCAGTGGGGGAACACTTCAGCGGTGAAGGACATTCGGCCTCGGATTTTCGGGTAAATGTCCTCCAAGGTGGACTTTGGGATACACAGCAACACAAGAGTCGCCGAGCAGAGGCTGATAGCAAAGTTTGGTATCCATGAGGACGGCCTCATCTGGGCTCTTGAGTTCATGTTGCACTATAGCTGATCCCATCACACTATACACTCTCAGACACGCACTCACACACACGCATACATCCACACACACTCACTTACACACACACGCCCCCAAACATGCCCCCACACACACACACTCTCACATGGGGCTGTCTGGTCTAGAATCTATGTCATAATACAATGACCCTACTTTTCCCTTTAAAGAACTGAAACCCTTTTTCATGATAACATGTACAATGATGTACATAAATATATTATTCTTTACATATGGATAACATCTTGATGGATGTATAACACAACCAGATCTAGTCCTTATACATTTATCACAACTTGATGTTGTATCTTCACTGTTTGGTGTGCTATCTGTTGTTGTGGAAGGACATATATCTCTTTTTTTATAGATGTGCATTGTTTTCTGGCACAATACCTTCCGTATCTGAGTTGTTATCTGATGGGTGACTGATGGTATGCAAATAGAATATGACATCAGTTTTTTTGCTGGACTTGACCATTCCTCATTATACCAGCATGTGTCCTAGGCTGGACAGAGTGGCATAGTATATTTCCACAAACCCAGGTGATCATATGAAAACCTCAAACTCATATGCTTTGTCCTGATTCATGTTGAGATAATTGTATGCATGCTTGTTGACCATGGTCTTGTACCATGTTCTCCTTTCCTTTCTACAATGTGTCATGCGCATGCATGGCTGGTGAGATTCTGGGAGGGGAGAACTGTGTGGATCCTTCTTCCAGACAGGACAGCTGTTGTTGAGGGTAAACTGTTGCTTAAAAGAGTAGCATATAGATTTAACAGCTATCTGAAAGTCTTAACAAGTCACTTCATATTATGGTCATAGATTTCACAGTATGAATAGTGCACACTTTGAAATTATTTGAGTGAGGCTAATAAGGACAATAGGTACTAAGTTGAATACCCTATTTCCTGCATTTCTCAATTGGGTGCATGAGTACAATGGAGTGTCGATGGACACAATTTCTTGAGGCACACCAAACATACTGAACATGGTGATCAATGTGTCAACAAACATTGCACTAGTGGTACCTTTGACATATTGCATTAAAAGGCGATTTACTGAAATAGTGACTCATCAGAATGTAATCATGTCCTTGGACATGGGAAATCTCATTTGTGAACTTGCACCATGGCTCAGGAGAAATCTTGTATGTAAGGAAAGGAATTTTTGAGTCTTGAGGTTGATAGAATTAACGTATTCCATGCAACTTGATTAGTTAATTGATGTCCCTTTAATGCAAAGTCAATACATGAATTCATGCATTAATCACTCAGTACTTTTTTAATGTCCACATGACCTACATGTGTTTGGTCAAGGCTATGTTGTAGTAGAATTACCTTTGAAGATTACATTTTTTGGAGACTTAGTTTATCTCCGAATGACTAGAAAGAACTTACTTGCATTGGGCTGTTGGATGTGTTGAGGCCACATGCTAATGATGAACCTTTTGAACTGTTGCTGCTGGATCTGCTCTGCATTGTTATGACCGATATGTATGAG